TCCAGCAGTAATATTTGGATTATAATATCCAATATTTAAATGAGTTGGTTGTTCATTTTCATTTTGTATTAAATCAATATCAAATGATTGATTTTCACCTGGTTCAAAAGCCGGACAATCTTTTGTATCGTTTTCTATTAGAAATGATTTTTTCTTTTGATTATTTAAACGTATAAAAATTTGACTATCCATTGAAGGAAGAAATTCTCCATCATCATCTTTTGATGGATAAATATTAATACGATAATGAACTTTAGTTTTTTCATTAGTTGATTCAGTATCTGTTGAAATTCGACGTGTTTGATTTATAGTTGATTTTTGAATTTGTTCATATCGTTTTGGAAATTCATATGATGATGATAATGATGATGATGATGAACGAGAAGAAGTTTTTGCTTGTTGTATATTTGTTGTTGGTTGTGGTGAAGATTTTTTATGAATTAAAGATGAAGATGAAGATTTTGAACTAGTTGTACTTGTTGAAGTTCGACGATTAATATTATTTTCAGATGATTCAAAAAGATTAAGAATTTTTTCTTGAAATGGACGAATCCATTGATTACAAGGAAATTTATAATGTAATTGAATTTTTGGATCAATAAGTTCGATCTAAATATACAGAAGAAAATAATATTGTTTATTATTATTTTTTTCATTTTTACATAATCAAGTTGCCATTTAATATCATCATCATCATCATCATCATCATGTCCTCTTAGTTCAAGTATTAATCGAATTTGTTTTGGTTTACCAATATTTCGAAATTTAGTTCGAAATGAATCTTGTCGACCTGATTTAAAATATTGAGGAAAATCTTTCATTTTAATTTCATATTGTTCAGTTTCATCTTTTCCATTATCAGATATATATGAGAATTTCAAAAATACATTAACAGACGAATTTTTTGGTAATTGAAAACTGCTATTTGAATTATTTGATGTATGAAATATTATTTGCCATGTTTTTGTTGAAGATTCTTCTCGTGATGTTGAACTAGTTTCTGTTGGACTTTTTAATGGAGCTACTGTTGGACGAATCTAAGAAAATTTTTAACACATAGAATCATAGAAATTTATTTTCTTATTTCATATTAATAAATAAGCAGAAATCAGATTAAATTCTATGTTTGATCATGATGTGAAATAGGAATGCAATAGCGATATTGATGAATACTAATGCTGCATACCTTAAAGCTAATACTTTTTATAATTGAGTACTTCTATTGTCTATCTTGACGAATATTGATTAAGATATTGATGATTACTGCCATATAATTTACCAATTCGATAACATATTTACTTGTAGATTTGAGATTATTTCTCGAGAGAACTATGTATAATGTATTCAAATAACTGAAGATGAAACCATTCAAAATGTTTTATTACTGTTTAGATCATATGTAGGATATATAGAACAGATTTCTAGACTAGAATAATCCTGAAAAGATTGATGACGACAGTCTTTCAATCGATTAATTACTTTTGAGTCAAAAAGAAAAATAGACATTATGTAGATTCTAAGTGATTATAAATATTTCGAAAAGAGTACGTGTTCATAGATTATTGCTGCCGATATATTGTATTTTTACGGTATTGTAGACTCACCGTAAAAACATCAGAAAAATTTATTTTAGAATTTCGACTTGAAACTTCGCCTAAAAGAAAAAACTTAACAAGCATAATTAAAGTTTCAGATATTTTCATAGTTTTTATTTTAAGATACGGACAGATTAAATGGCTTGATACTTGTACGATTAATTATTTTCGCTAAGACTTGTTTCAAGTCAAAATTTAAAAATCTAGTAAAACTGTTCTTATATTACAGAAAAAATCAACGAAATTGAATCCTTTCGAGATCATTCTAGTCTATAATATATTTCGTTATGTCTCAAATATAAGTTGCGAATTGTTGAATTACTTCGAACGTTTCTCTCATGAGCCACATATATATATTCTCTTCTTTGAACTTCTCAAATTTCTATGAAACCTTTTGTGGACAAATTTCAATGATAAATCCAAAAAATAAAAAATGAAATCTATTAATTAATTCTAATTGAATTAATGCTAATCACTTTGATCAAAATTGAAATGATCTATTTGAAGTAAATCAGAAAAATTTTTTAATCGACTTTGAATATCTCAAAATTTTAGAGAATTGAGTACATGTAATTTGATTGCAAAAAGAAAAAAGATATTAATTGTATCATGTAATTCATTAGACTATTGTCATTACTGAAGAATAAAAATATTATTTTGATTGACTTTAATATATATATATAAAAGAAAGAAATCTTACATCTGTTGTTGTTGCTCCAGTTTTTATTTTATCTTCATTTGATTCTGATGAAGAATCATTTTTTGATGTTTCTGTATCATCAGATTCATCAAAATCTTCTGCATAATTATCATCTAAATAAAATTTAATTATTTAAATTTATCTATATATATATAAAACATACTCGTATTCGAAATATGTCTAACAGGTATTTTAATAGGTGTTTGTTTTGTTTTAATTTGATCTGAAGTTGGTATAGAAATTGTTATTGGTTTTTTCTTTTTATCAACTGTTTCATTTAAATCTTTTGATGAATCATCATATTGTTTAAATCGAGTTTGTTTTTCAAATCGACATCTTAAATTAATCAATATGCATTATTTATTTCTTTTGTTCTATTTAAAATATACTTAATACAAGGTTTTGATCCTTCAACTGATATAATAGCAAAATGACCACGTTCTCCACCTAATCGAACACCATGACGATGTTTATATTCACAACATGTTGATATTCGACTATCAATTAATCCTTGAATATATAAAGATAAACCAAATGGATAATCGGAATGACGACGTGAATTAAATGTAAATTCATCTGTTTTAATAAAATAAGAAATATTAAATAAAAAAAAAAAAAAAAGCGAAAATTGTACCTCCAGCTTTAAGATGATTTTTATAAACAATTAAATTTTCTCCTCCACAATGTTGTTGCATAACAATAATTTCATCAACTGGTTCGAATATTGAATGATCATATTCAAGTTTTGTATGTGGACCATAATAAATCATTGTTATTCGACATGGAGGAATTGTTAGTGAAGAATCTAATGGTTTTGTTAATATACGAGAACGATGCTAGTTTTTTTTAGAAAACAAACAAAAAAAAGTAAAAATTATATTGTTAATGTAGAAATATTTTACTAATGGTAATGATCGTGAAGCAAATGATGGTTTTGATCGATTAAGATGTTGTTGACGATGACGATTAGGACTTTTTGATGAATATTTTTTACGACGATCACCACTAACATGAGCTGAATGAACACGAGAAAGTTGAGGTATTCGATCAAATTCTTCATTCGTCTATATTTCATTTTAAAATAAAAATAAAATTCCTTTTTTTTTGTTGAGAGTTTACAGTTTCAAGTTCTCGATGATGACTGGCACTTTTAGGTCGATTTTGTGACCAAGATGAATGCATTGATAATAAACCTGTATCAGTAGAATTTGGCATATTTCCAGATGAATATCCACCACGTCGTCTTGATTCCTATACAAAAAATTTCCTTTTCATCTAAGTTGATGAAAACTAAAAAATCAACATTTTTACTTTAACACTATGTACTAGTGCCGCTTTTGATACCATATCTAATTGACGTTTTAATTCAGCTTGTCGTGCTCGTTCCATATCAATCGCTCTGATATTATATATATTATTATAAGAATAACAAGAATTTTAGTAAAAATATTTTTTTTTTATTTTCTTTACCGATGAACAATATTTTCAGCAAGCATTTGTCGAACATGTTTTTTATGTTCACGTCGAGCTAATTTTACTCGATATTCACTATCAGGTACAATTTCACCACGACGACTTATCTAAATTATTTTATTATTGTTATAGATACTCAAAAAAAAAACAAATCTTTTCTTGAATTTATACTAGTCCAGCATGTCTTAAATGAGATCGAATACGTTCATTACTAAAATAACATTGTAAATGAGGATCAGCCAACGAATTATATTTAGCCAAGGTACTAAATTCGAATATTCTATAGAATTAATAATCAAAAAAAACTAAAGACTAGTACCTTGAATCAAGATGGGCCATTATTGAAAAAAAAAAGTGTTATGTCAAGAGGTCGTTAATCGAACAATACAATACACACACTTCTTTTTTTAATAAAGAGAGTCTCTAACAATGATTTAAGTAAACATATACAATAAGCCATTGACTTTTTTCTACTTGCATAGTTGTTGAGCAACGAATTATGAAAATTTTATTATTAGTAGAGTTCAATTGAAATTCATATTTTAATATCTTTCAATTCTTATTACTTTTATCATATATATATATATATTTTCTAATCGTTTATCATAAGAAAACTTGAATGTGGCTCCATCTTTTACTGAAACCACAAAAAATCATAGTACAACTAGCATATTTCTTAATCCCACTGTACAATAAAATAAAATCAAAATAGTAATTCGTGATTCAAAAAAAAAAAAGTATTAAATAACTTTTTCCAATAACACAAATGTATATTGACATATATGAACAAAATTTTCATATTAAGATTTGATAACCATTGCTTAACGATGATCGTATTCAAATAAGATCGATTGCCCTCGTATTTTATATTACCTATTCTATCTATATCATCTTCTCTGTTTAAAACATTTAAATGCCTGGAAAGACAAAATCGATGATGAATAAGATTATCTCGTAGTTTTACGTAACGTATATATGGTCAGTCAGTTTAGTCTGATCATTATTACATTCTTCGTTCGTGTCTTTATCTTTTCATAACATAATCTCTTTCTTTCTTTCTTTCTCTCTCTCTCTTTGTTTCTCTCTTTCTTTGTTTCTCTTTCTCTCTCTTCTATCTCTTTGTCTTTCTTTCTTTGTTTAATTTTCTCTATAAAATAAGGTGCATGTTCAAATAAATCGTTATAAGAAAAGTTGACTACTATCTAATAATCGTTTTCTAAACGAATACAAAAATGGCTTCTATAACATTGGTTATTTCATTTATTATTTTATTATTAACAATATATTCTTATTCAGCACCAATTGAACAACTATATGATACTTCAACATCGGAATATGAATTTAGTACTGGTACATTATTGGTTGATCATGAAAATGGAATTAATATGCAAGTAAGAATTTCTATAATAATTGCGTTTTATATATTTTCTCGAAAACAAAAAAAAAAAATTCATTATTTTTAGGTAATGTCCAATGAAGAATCAACTTATGTACCTGATGAACAAACATTTACTAAACCCAATGTTGTTGAATTAACAACACCAGATCAACTTGAATATCCTGATGATGTATCACTTCCATCAAGTACAATTGATGATTTATTATTTACATCATCACCAATGTCATCGATGTTTGAAACAACATCATCATCAAATGAAACCAATGATCAACATATTTCAGATGATGATTCATCTACATCTACAGAATCAAATATGCAACCGGAATCAGAAGTAGTTACACCTAATAATGTTCAAAACGAAGTCGAATCATCAACATCATCAAACAATGATGTTGTTCAAAATAATAATGAAATGGAAACCTCAACAAATGCTGAAGTAAATTTACATATATTTTTCTTTTCCTTTAATTCGTTTTTTTTTTTCGCAGCCATCATTTGTTGACTCTGAATCACAAACATCAACAGTTTCATCATCTGTTGAAACTGAATCAGATACTACATCAGAAGTATCATCATCTGAAGAATCTGAGTCACACACATCAGTTGCACCTGAATCAGAAACAACAACAACATCATGGTCTGTTGAATCTGAATCACAAACAACAACAACATCATCTGCTGAAACTGAAGTCGATGCAGTGGAAGTGTCATCATCAGAAGAATCTGAATCACATACATCAACAACAACAACAACTGAATCAAACACATCAGAAGCATCATCTACTGAACTTGAATTGGATACAGTAGAAACATTATCAACTGTTCAACCTGAATTAGAAACATCATCATTAGTTGATTGGTCCAGTACATCTACTGGAATTTTAAATGATGATCAATTAGAAGAAAAAGCAACAAAATTTGATTACGGTAAAAGTGATCAATCAAGTGAAGAATCAGAAACAGAACAATTAACAACATCTGTTTCAACTGTTTCAGGTAATATTAAAGAAATGAAAAATCTATACGAATAGTCAATGTGTAGAGTAAATCCAATAGATCAATGAGTTCAACTTTTCTTGTTGTATTATTATTTTGTGTATTTCTATTATTAGAATCACAATGGTCATTATTAAGTTTTCTTTCGAAATAGGAGATTTATGAATAATATAAAAAAAATAAGAACGAGAAGTTTTTCTTCTATTTTTTATTTTACATATTTAATTTTTTTTCTATTTTTAGGTCAAGTTGAAATAATCGTTGACGATGAATCAGATGACTGAAATGGAAACTGATTTCGACGAAAATATTAATAACATTTTGTTAAATAAACTTTTCATTCTCTTTCAATATGTTTCTATGAGCTTTTCTTTGAATTAATTGAAATATTATTCATGTTGTTGTATTTAGTTTTTTTTTTTTCAATGGAACTCAATTTCTCTATTATAAATAAATATTATCTCTTTATCCATCCAATATATATTTATTTTGTTTTCATTTTTAACAAATTAATCCGATTTTATTGAAAAAAAAAACAGAATATTTAAAAAGTTCTGTACATAAGACAATTATTAGGTAATTCAACATGTTTAAATAAGATCAGAGTTAAATACATACTTTATTTGAAAATTGACAGTAACATGATTATATTTTGTTACATGTTGGATTGTGAACCTGTGTTCATCATTCTTTCTTTTTCTGACTACAATTTCAAGTGAATAACAGCAGCTATGAATGAAACAATTGTTAGAAGTACATGATAGTGTTCATCGCTCGGATAACTTAGTGACGGTAAACTACATTATGAAGTTATAAATAATCACAGGAATCGGAAATTTCTTAGTTGTCATTGACAAATTAGGAGATTCAAAAAACAACACTATTTAATAAGAACGATGAAGGCACTCGCTCATTGGAAAAAAATAATTCTATTTTGGGTACATTCAAATCATAGGAAATTGTCAGATATGTTGAAGTAATAATTGAGAAGCTATACCAAAATTTTTACTTTTATGCGAGTGAACTGATCGACTAATTCTATCTGCAAAAAACAAGCTGTAAAAAATAGTGATCTTATAATAAAAGTGTTATCGAGAAAATCGATTCTTCTCAGATTGTGTAGCTGAACATACGCTTTGAAACAAAAACAAAAAAGACGAATCACCTATAGGAAAGCCTGATCGAACATACTCGGTTGCCAGATCGAAAAACTTGGAAGTTAGAGGGGGAAGTCATCAATTTATTAGAAGAAAAAGCTAAAGGAGAGCTCTCGTTTCGTGACGAATTTTTTTTGAATGTTTCATCTTAGTTTCTTATCTGCGCTCTATGTATTTCCGAGTATCTTTTATGTATTATGCATATTTGCAGAAGTAGAATATAACTATAAAAGTCAAAAAAAATTGATCTTTTTTACTGAAAAACGTTCAAATTTACACATTCTTCAACTGTTTTTGAAAAACGAGATCTCCAAGTAAAAAAAAAACAAAATGTAAAAATTTTTCGGTACTTGCCACTTTCATATATCTCAGAATGAAGCATTTAGAGAAACGTTCGAGTCTTTGATAAATTTTGATCAACTTATCAAGATCTATCTACTCTTATACTAAGCATAAATAGTTTATTTCTACTTCGTAGATAGCTTCGATCTATTATTACTCATCAATATCCCATAAAATATGTATGGAATAGTATATCATAGTACTGACTGCTTATTTAGTAGAATAAGATTCTAGATCCTATGACAAATAAACTCATCTATCAATTAATGAACATTTGAAACTAAGAATAAATTGTATCATGGTAACTTTAACAGTTTTTTATTATTATTATCATCTTCATCAGTCTAATGTTATTATATCTGTCGGAATTTCAATTTCAAACTAACTTCATGAACTGAGTAATTTCATTTTATGAGTTTTATTTAAAAAAGAAAATGTGATGATGAAAAAACAAAAATAACAAAAACAATAGCAATCCTTATATAATCATAATATTCATTTGAGATAAACATTTTCATGCTTTTTTTTTGTTTATGATGATGTTGACACATGCCGATATAATTCAAATGGCATCGCTATTTGATTGTATTTTATAGATGTAATAGGTATTCGAGGATGAATATGATTATTATGTAATGCAAAAGATACACCTAATCCATATGATGCTGTAAATGTAGCAAATAATGAAAAAGCTATAGCTGCATTAAAAATAATAGCACTACCACCATTCATAAATAAATATGAACTTATTGTTAAAACTGTTATCCATAATAATAAAGAAGCAAGAAAAAAGAAAATTGTTATTAGAATTAAACCTATTCGACGTCGATAAATAAATACATTTATAAATGAACTAATTATACCAAATATAATAAAACATTGTCCAATAATAGCAAATACTATTGATATATTATGTTTTTCTCTTACACTTGTACAATTATCTTTATAACATGTTTGAAATAGACCTGTTTTATTATGATAACTATCAATTTGCCATCCAGATGTTGTTGTTGCCAAAATAGACATTATACATGATATCATACTAAATATAGCACTGACAAGTATAATTAATTCTTCTTGAGATTCGTTGTTTGTATTCATTAACTATCGATAGGTATTTCTTACATATATATATATATATATCTTAGTGATTATAACATTTGAATAACTAAGAAATAATGATCAAATAATATGAAATAATCTAATGTATGATTTACTTTCATTAATCAATTTTTTTGTTTTTATTCAAAAAATATAAAGTCTTGTCCTATATATAAGAAATTCTTAATAATAAACAATTAAAATATTCTTTTTTTTTTCTTTCTATAAGAAAAATTTTCTTGTAAAATAACTAATTGTGTTGTTAAGTTGAAAACCAAAAAAAAAAAAAAAACTAGCGCTAATTTCATTCATCCTATAAAAATATTCTGTTAAACTATCCACATATCAGTTAATTGTATTTTATCTTATTCTTCAAAATGATCATCAATCAATTGAGTATGTTAAGATAATTGAACATAAATACAAATATATATGATTATCTTTAGTTTCTTTTTTGTTCATCATTTCAATAATCTTTTCTGGACTTGGAATATTGACTGGTGATAGTATGGAAAATTCTGATAATGATAATGATACTACTGTATATACACGTTTACGTCGTCAACTTAAAAAATTTGCATATGCAGATCCATGTGAAGTTAAATGTGTTAGTGAAAAAATTCAATCAAAAGTACCTATTAAAGTTTTAGCTGTAAGTTATTTTTATTTTTAATCATTTAAAATAAAATAAAAATATTTTGTCATACAGAAAAAGTGTAAAGAAACATGTCAAGATAAAATAGCAAATTTTAAACCGGCTGTTTATTATAATTAATATTCAAATGTTAGTTATTGTAAATGATGTTTATTATTTTTTTTCTTTTGATTTCGAAGTATCATGTAACTCGAATAATTCATTCTTATGTTGTATCAGTTCAATTGGATATGTTAGTTTTTTTTTCTAAATAAAAATTTTCGTTTATGTTGAAAATATTGATTGTACATTTATTCCTATCTGTAATTTTATTTGTTTTGCATAGTTTTTGCCTTTCAGAAATCTATTGTAGAGCGTCTCGATTCTCAATTGAAAAGTTTTAGTTTTTGACAATTATTTCATACAGATGCGACAGCACCAGATTCATTTGAAGTACATTCAAAAACAACATACTCGCTTTGGATTCATGAGGAGCGTAGATAAATGTGCAATGAGGATGTGCAAAAGATTATTACCAAATCATAATCAGCTTGAAAAATTATTCGATCTGTATTTCTTTTTAATATTTTCCTTAAGTCGATACTTTCGTCAAAACGCCTTTCTTCACTGTTACAGAGAGTGTGAGTAAGCATTAAAATCATAATTTAATAATCAAAGCTAACAGCTCTTGGTGACTTATTCGACTTCAAGACTTTGACTCGTTTATGTAATTATATAATTAATAGTTGTATTCGCAAAGATATGATAATCGCTGAATCGTCATGTAAACTCTTTTATTAATTGAATTCAAATCTATTAGATTTAAATGATCAAGTTAAATGTAAATAAGGATTAAGGTGATTGAAGAGTGTATAAGATCTTCATACGTTCGTTTTCAAGAAAAAATTCAAATAATAATTGATACAGTAATAAAAGATAAAAAAATGATCAAAAATTAAATATCAATAGGAAATGCACATCTTGGAGTTCTTGTTAAGGTTATTCGTAGAACTCATGTAATAGATTTTTCATAGGTTAGTCAATACTAACCAGAAATTTCTTTTTTTTTTTCTGAATTCATACAAAACCTAGCAAGGACAGAATATATCAAGAGAAATCAATTCTTTTCTTTTAATAAAAAGAAAACTACTCAGAAAAAAACAATGTTTCTAATATTAATTTTAAATAATATTACAATTGCTCATACGTTTATAGATTAAAATTTTGAAAATGAACAGTTAAAATCTATTGTTAATAAGTTTTCATCAATTTATTGACAAATAAACTTTATAGGTAAATATTTATTTTTTGAAAATCAACAATTCTATTCGTTCATCTGTACAATAATCTATAGACAACTTCAAATATATATATATATATATATAAAACAAAGAAAAAAAAATCTGACATAAACATTTTGACTTTATTTATCTTTAGAATTAATTATGCCGGTTATTCAGTATTATTTTCAATAAGATAATCATCTGTTGGAAGACATTGTCCTGATTTAATTGAATCTAAAACAAGAATAATGAAAGAAAATAACGAAAAATATAAATAAATTTAAAATTACCAATAACCCATTGTTCAGTAACTTGCGGATAAATAATAATTGAAAGTGATTTAGAGGATTGTCCAACAACAATTTTAGCCAGATTACGACTAACTGTAATCTATATAAAAACAAAAAACAAAACTCACAGAATTATAATGGAACAAAACTTACATTTCCACCTAATAATGTTATCAATTTAAGTAATAATGATCGTTGTTTAGCTATTGATGTTAAATAAATAAGACCACATTGATTAAATAAATGAATTGGTTTCTGTTGTTGTCGAAATTTACGATATATGCTTAATGATGGATATGTTTGAAAAAATCGTTTCGGTTCAAATTTATTAACATTTAACCATTCACCAATACGTGATGAAGATTTTAACCATTCAAATGTTACTAAACGACTAGAAATAAATATAACAAATTAATTTAAATATTTTAATTCTTCAAGATTTACTAATTGTTGATTATTAACAACTAACTAACCATC